GATATGAGATTGGACATTTAAAAAATTCATGACATGCGCATACGTGTTTACGGTTTGAATGTACAGTACAGTCATAACCATGCGCTGCTATTTTTGATCAAGTGCAGGTTTGGGCTCTCCTGAAAAGGTCACGTCGAGTTCGCTTTTAGCCTCAAAAGGCCTCCCAATGACAAACAGCACAACCAGGAAACGTAACTGGTAAACTAGATTGTTTTCAACTGTCGAGTACTCAGTCATATAGATACCGCTTCCTGATTGCAGTGATTGTCAACAGAATTCTCACGTCTTGGGTATTTGTCATGAGACTCGTCACGTGTACAGAATCTCACAGCTGTCACAGGAGTGCAGTGTTGGCACACTGAACTTTGAACCCAACGAGCTGGGTTGTATTCCTGACCATGGCTAACATCAGTGGCGAGTGACATCAGAACCAATCCTGGGTGGCCCCCTTCATCAAGCCACACTGACCAGGGTGGTGAAGTATGGTCGAACAACTGCTTTGTGTGTTGTCTTTACCCCCACACCTCCGATTAACAAGGCTGCCTACGTATGGTGCGAAAGAAGTTCAACAGACATAAAACCCTCATGGCATGGGAGAGGTTTTCATCCAATAGTGGGTTCACAAGGGGACTGATATTTTCTATTAAGCAAATCATCCAAGGCTGTTACAACTGTTCATCATAGTTTGGCCTCAAGGTTATTGGAGTGCAGTTTTTTTTTTGCGAGAATGCCATTGGCTCAAATTATCTGGAAGAAAACAATGGCTATATTTAGAAGCAACTTATCAAATTTCCCACGTTCAGTGTTCCCAAGAGCTCACAGCAGCATTGGTCTATATTTGTCTATATTTGTTCTCCTAATATATAACAAAAAAAAAACGGCCAACACAATGGTATTTCCAAAGTGAATGTCTACGCTGACGTCGCGAGACGTGAACCCGAATCAGAATCTTTATTTAGACTGGAGGAATCCCATCAAAAGCTATAAAGCTCGTTTTAAAGGATGTTCAGTCGGAAACCTAAAACAAAAACAATACAAAAATACGATAGCAGTGCAAAGTATAGGAAAGGTGAGCAAATCACACGGAAAAAATAAACTACTAAATTACCAGGTAAAGCCCACTGAACTATTAGCTTATTTTTCAGAAGCGACTTGGACACAAATTATAGCTCAACGTAGTGGCTTATGTGGAAATTTATAGCGATCAAGTATTCTAAATCTAATTATAGGGTTGGGCCTGGCTGTCAGGTGGCTGGGTTTCCTCCAGGTTCTCTGGCTTTCTGCCACAAGAAGCCAAACACTCATTACTAGAATTGGCCAAACATCTCAATGTAGCAGGACCCTCCTGAAAATAAGTCTTGGGACTCGGTGAGGCTTCCCAAGGTAAAATGCAGTATAGTGCATCATTATACAATTAAAAGTGATTATTACACATGGATGCAATGTCACCTGTTGTGTGTTCAATTAATTTAATTTTCAGTTGTCAACCCACTATTGGGCCAGGGCATTCTCAGGACGTGTCGGTGGCGTGGATTGTTTGCCCATACTTCACCACGCTCGTCATGGCTAATTGTAGAAAGTATATTTTCATGCTCCTCCACTGGAAAAGTTGACAAATCACAACCCTGCATTATTACGATGGCGATTGTGGACGAGATTGCTCCGAGCCAAATGGGGAATCTCTCTGTGGGCTGCAACTTGCGTTGTGTAATCTCGCGAGAAGTAAAATGTCAACGACTCGAGCGTAAAATGTAACGTGGCAGCATTTTGATGACGAGCGCTGTTATGGCTGTCACCTCTTGTTCTCTTTCTGGACTTGGAAAACCCCTTCGCCGCACCACGTCACCACCCTTCAGGCAAACACCGTCACAAGGCAAGATAGAGTCGTTCTTGATGACCAATTGTATTTATTGATTATGAATGTGGTCACTCATTAGATCATTGTGAATTGTGATGATTAATCGGTTGTTGAAGGGGGCATTCGGTGAAGCGTTCTTTTTTTTCGCACTGCTGTTGTTGATGCCGAGCAACAACTCGCATTCCACATTGCCGTGGTTGAGACAGATATTTGCGTGGGGAGTAGCCGAGTGCATCGCTGTGAAGACCCCTCCTGCATGAATCAGGCATTGAGCCGTTGTACACTGAATATGTACACTGATTATGCACATTTAGTATGTACACTGAGCATGTACATTGAGTATGTTTCACCGTCTATTCTGTGAGGTGACCACAGTCGCCTCACACCGGAGAGTTTTACATTTCCCATGTGTGCATCAACAATCCGCATCTGCTGCTGCTGCAGCCATACTTTGTGCAGCAGGTGCGGTTGAGGGTCGTGACCCCAGAATTTTCGCGTCTAACGTGAGTGGCGAGTGACATATGAACCGGTATTAGCGCTAACCCGGCTGATCGACCAAAGCATCTGTGAAAACGTGCTTTATAGCTCATCGGATTTCTCCAGTATGATACATTCTGATTCTGAAGTTTGGTAAAATAACCCCCAAGACCCCCTCCCCCTCCCCACACTGGCACGGCGTGTGAAGGGATACATTCATCAGTGGAATGACAAATAACTGTCATTATTTTGCAGTTACCACCGATCAATTGTTAATATGATCACTGAATAGTTTATTGTTCATGTGGCAACTGAACGATTATCATTTTATTTATTTATTCAGAAAAAAAACACACTGGGTCTTGAAAATGTTTCAGGAGAGTCCTGCATTGTGATGTGTGGCCAACAACAATGGCACTGCATCTCTTTAGCTCTGCGGGAAAGGCAGAGGACCCAGTGGAAGCCCGCGATGAACAGTGGGACAACATATAAACTGCACACAGGTGCAAAAGTGAGGAATCAAACCCATGTGTTTTTGCTGAGGGCAATTACCACTGAGTCACCCTACCGCCCTGATTGATCACTACCTTGATCACTAAATTGACGATTGTTGTTAAATTGGCCATAGTTGATGTCAAATGTGGTAACTGAGCAATTATTATTGACCACAAATTACGTGTTCATGACGCCATACCTATTTGATTGTTATCGTGGTCACTGAAAGGTTGAAACTATTGTTTATATATTCTTGGTTCTTTCGGTAAAGTCACGTAGAATGGAAATAATAAAATAATAAAAATATAACTTAATAAAATAATTTTATCTTTATTATTTTTATTAGTTTATTTCCATTCTACGTGACTTTACCGAAAGAACCAAGAAGATGAATCCCTGCAGTCACGAAAGCTTTAAATCGAAATATTGTTTATAGATTAGTTTATAATTGACGGTTAATGTGGCAATCAATAACATGGCCAATGCCGACAATTTTTTTCTTCCCTTATTTGCCACATGGCTCAGTCAGCCTTCAGTAGCTGCCCTGGGCGTGGATATTGTTACAAGCGGTGTCTCTCAGATGTCTCCCCACGGTAGAGTAAAGTGAGCGACGAGGTCAAGCTATTTTGGCTGAAAGATGGCCAAAGTTATGTTGGCCATCAAACAAATACGGTCACTGCATCGCGATGCGCTTTCAGATGCGCATCTGCGGCCGTCTGGAACGTTCTTCCTTCTGATATTAGGAAGCCACTGGAGATAAACATTTTAAAATCATTATCTAGATTGACAAACTCATTTCTTGATAACTGCTTGTTTTAGTTTGTTGTCCTTCCCCCGCACCTCCGATTAGCACGGTTAGCAACGTACGGTGCGAAAGAAGTTCAGCATACATACATACAGGTTGGGCTGCTTTAGGAAATATAAACTTGATCATGAAAAGCAGCATACCAATGTGCCTAAAAAATGCAGTTGCGACCTGAATGACCTGTTACGCAATGTGGCCCAGCAACGTGGACGCTGATTGCTTGTGTTGCAATCGAAACGTCGTGATTTGTTTTTATTTCTAACTACGTGACTTTACCGTAAGAACCAAAGAGCATGTATTCCTGCAGTCACGAAAGCTTCAAGTCAAGATTCAATATTGACAGTGTGCAAAGTAAACTAAGCAAATTTTTTTTTATCAGATCAGGTAAGGTCCACTAAGCTAAGCTGCTTTGTTCAGAAGCGACCTGTCCATCACAAACGAGAGCTCAACGAAGTGGATTATCGCGTGGAAATATATCTCAGCCAAATACTCTAAACGCGTGTTGTTTCCAAATGTGGCACCGTGAAAAATCCACGTGACCAGGGGGAGACAGAGTCACTTCAGAATGTTAAATATATAGCAGCAGGTGTCAGGGTGGAGATCGAACCCACCCCAGGCGGGAAGAGATAACGTCTCCTAGCCACCGTGGGATTACGAGCACCAGCAAGGGGAAGGCGTGGGATCAAGACGAGCAAGGCAGTCGTTTCGTGACGCCCCTTGTGCCTGCCCAAGCAAGCACGTGGCCACCTCTGCCAGGCACAATTGGCGTCATGGGGCAGCACGGATTCTGGGGTGGCCCGGTGGTCGAGACTGTGAACGGAGTGGCAGCTCAAGGCTGGGCGGGGTGGTGGTGGGAACACACACACGCTCGAGAGGACGTCCACTTCGAGGAGTGATGGACTCGGGTCCTCATCCAGCAGTGGGTAGAGCACGCCCCTGGCGCGTCTCTCGGCCACGTGAAAGCCCAGCAGCGGTGACGTCACCGCCCATCGCCCGCTGACGTCACCGCTCGTCCACGGACAAGGGGGCAAACACGTTACGTCACCGCGGGCTGTACCATTATTGTCACTCGGAAAGGGTGTGAACTTTTTTTTGGTGTGTCGATAAAATGATCAACGGCGCAGCAAACGCGCTCGGAGTCTCGCGTAACATGTTGAAGATCTAATCCTATAAGATTAGTTATCGTTGAAAAAAAATCGATTCGTGTTGTTCGTTACGGGGGCGTTTGTAATTCGTCATTGAGCACGAGCACCCGCCCCCCCCGCGCGTGCGGGAGGCGTGAATGGTTTCGCCCGACGCGTCACGTGGCTCGCGCTGGGGGGGGGGCGGGCGAGTTATTTAATTATTTCTCGCTGCTGTAACGACGACGGCTGCTGCTGCTGCTGCGGGGAGGCCGAGGAGGCGGCTTGAGGGAGAAGTTTTTTCTGTTGTCCCCCCCCCCCTCGTCTCTCGCCTCGTACTTTTACGGCGCCGTCTTCCCCCGTTTTACTTTAACCCAACCAAGCAAGCAAGCCCAACACACACACGCACGCAGCGTCATCGCCGGCGTCGTCTTCCCAAGGCCGACGTTGACTTGGAGGAGGAGTGGACGAGTGGACGCTGCTTCGCTTCAAATTAACACATTTTTATTATCTTTTAAACCGGTCGGTGTCGGCGGCACCCCGTTGTTTGACAATGTCCACGCCCGCCAGAAGGCGTCTCATGCGCGACTTCAAGAGGTGAGGACAACGGCGAGAGCGAGAGAGAGATGAGGGTGATGATGATGAGGGGGGGAGGGAGAAGATGGCGGCCGACACGGGAGGTTTCTCGCTGCTGCCACCACCAATACCACCACCACTACTACACTACTATACACCACTACTACACTACTATACACCACCACCACTACTACACTACTATACACCACTACTACACTACTATACACCACCACCACTACTACACTACTATACACCACTACTACACTACTATACACCACTACTACACTACTATACACCACCACCACTACTACACTACTATACACCACTACTACACTACTATACACCACTACTACACTACTATACACCACCACCACTACTACACTACTATACACCACTACTACACTACTATACACCACTACTACACTACTATACACCACCACTACTACTACACTACTACTATACACACACTACTACACTACTACTATACACACCACTACTACACTACTACTATACACACACACACCACTACTACTATACTACTACTATACACACACCACCACTACACTACTATTATACACCCCACTACTACACTACTATACACACCACTACTACTACACACACACCACCACTACTACACACCCCACCACTACTACTATACACACACCACTACTACACACACTACTACTATACACACACCACCACTACTACACACAACACTACACACACCACCACTACTACATACCACCACTACACACCACCACTACTACATACCACCACTACACACCCCACTACTACACTACTATACACACCACAACTACTACACACCACTACTACTACTACACACGCCACCACTACTACACTACTACACACGCCACCACTACACACACCACTACTACATACACCACCACTACTACACACCACTACTACACTACTACTATACACACCACCACTACACACACCACTACTACATACACCACTACACACTCCATCACTATTACTACACATACCACCACTACTATACACACCACAACTACTACTACACACACTACTACACACACCACCACTACTACACACACCACCACTACACACCACCACTACTACACCCCACTACTACTATACACACCACAACTACTACACACCACCACTACTACTACACACACCACCACTACTACACACCACTACTACTATACACACCACCACTACTACACACCACTACTACTACACACACCACCACTACTACACCACCACTACTACACACCACCACCACTACTACACACCACCACCACTACTACACACCACCACCACTACTACACACACCACCACTACTACACACACCACCACTACTATACACACCACCACTACACACACCACCACTACTACTACACACACTACCACTACTATACCACTACCACTACTATACCACCACTACTACATACACCACCACTACTACACTACCACTACTATACACCACCACTACTACTATACACCACCACTACTACTATACACCACCACTACTACCACACACACTACTACTACACACACCACCACTACTACTACTACACACACCACTACTACACACACCACACTACCACTACTACACACAGCACCACTACTACACACACACACCACCACCACTACTACACACACCACCACCACTACTACTACTACACACACACCACCACCACTACTACTACACACACCACCACCACTACTACTACACACACACCACCACCACTACTACTACACACACACACCACCACCACTACTACTACACACACCCCACCACCACTACTACACACACACCACACATAGGGGTCACGTCGACGACGGAGAATACACAGAGTCGCCGCTGTGTTTCGCGTTGTTTTGCTTCTAGAACGCCGCTGCTTTACGGCGGCGACACGCTGCGACGGGGACTTTGTGATTGTTGTGCCATTCGGGGGCTGGTTGGGGGGGGGGCCCGTGGTGGTACCGAGGCAGAGAAGGGCACCAGGGGAATGTTCACGTTCGTTCGTGCGCACGGTAGGAAGGGCGACTACCTTGTGTGACCGTGTTACAGGCCCGCCCGCCCGCCACCACCATACTACGTCCGCCGCGTAAGCGATGATTGTGGTTGGTGTGTTGTTGTCAGCAGGTACAGCAGCAGCTGTAGGGCGGCCTGCGATGGTCGTGGCAGCAGCAGCAGGAGGAGGGGGGTGTTGCCCTCGGGAGCTGCTGGCAGAGGGCACCAAATGTGTTTTTGTTTTTGACGCGTGGCCATGGCATAAGTCACGATAAGATAGAGGGCCGAGATCCGTGTAATCGATTATTGTCCGATGAAAGCCAGACTTTTCCTAGTTGATGACACGAGATGAGTCGTGGTGATTGGCACGAGGGGGTGCGGCGTGACCTGTGACAAGGCAAACCTCGTGGGTTTTTTTGAGATGTCTTTTTAACAGAAACACATTCTGTGGCAGTGATTATGATCTATGAAATATAGAATTCAAATGGTATCTCTAAAATCACTTGGAGCTTGCTAGGATATCAGGAAGCACTATTATACGGGTGATGATTGTTATGACTTCTGTATAAGGCTTTATGCAGAGAAGAACTAGTATACATTTGAGTAATGTACGGTAATGACATCCATTACTATTTGAACCATGTGCTTAAAGCCACGAATAGTCATGGTTTTAATTAAAAGGACCGGTTGCTTAGGACTCGTGACAGGCTCCCGAATGCCTATATTTGAGATGTAAACACGTACTTAATATCCATCATATACATGACACAATTAGACTTGCTAATGCATTCTAATTTTACACCAACACATGCTAGAAGAATCGTACTTGTTATGACGCGGGCGGTCTCAAAACTTGAAGCAGAGGACATTAGCTTTAGTAATTTGCATGGGGCTCTGACACTAATATCTTAAACAAATGTACGCGTCTTCTTAAACTGTATTGAACCTACTGTTGTACCATTACACCGCATACCTTTGTAACGAGAGGTAATATGACAGGAGGACATGCTTGGGTCAGAGGGCACCAAATGTTAATCTTTCACATGTATTTTCGGAATTTACATTTTACATTGCAATACTATCCATTGCTAAAGAACTTAAACCCACTTTTGTAACAGTTTCAGCAGCGACTACTAAAAATGTTCTAATTTTATAACGAGGTAATGCAAAAAAATCACAACGAGGCCTTGGCATAAACACTAATGTTGCAATGATATAGATTACAATGTTCATTATACCTTTGTAACCATAATTAAAACTTCGTTACACATACAGGCACTGTAATACTAAGAGGTTATGAGGACATTTAATTGAGGATATTAATATTTCACAGAAGCCCATGAGAAAACCAAGAATGTGACAATGATATCCATGTTATAAGTATGCCAACAGTTTTTACACCAACCACTGTATAATCACATGTTTCGGTGGTTCTGTCCATTGACTCGCTCCCGTCTTTGGAATGTGGAATTTCCCATACTAGTTTGTGGCTTACACAGGAGATTAGCAGCATCGCATGCTCATTCTTGGTAACTGCTGGCTTTTAATTGTTGTAAAGAAAGGGGACACTGCAGTGCTAGAGGAAATTGCAGTGACGTTTTTAATTGAGGCCATAATATAAACACTTGTATAGCAGTTTGCATTGTAACATGATTATACCATTTAATGCACTGTTACAACTAATCCAAACATCTAAGGAGCATCTGAGGACTTGAGGCAGTAGACACCAATATTAATAGGGGCAATGCCTGACTAATACTAACATTACAATAATCACTAATATTCTTAAATCATTCACGCCTATTAATAAAACACCTTTCCATCAGAAATCAATACAACTCATGAAAATAGGAGGCTCTGAGGGCTTGAGACACCAACATTTAATATTTGATACGAGTCCATTACGATGCTAATATTACAATCAATCCTCGCGCCGCTCCAATACACCCCACCGTTGTAAAGGTTATGATCTGCCATAGCACTTGCTGTGGCACCAGCAACTTCCATAATAAGAGTTGTGCTAAGAGGGGTCTCCGATAACTTGTAACAGAGGACTGAAGTTAATATTAGGGATGAGTCAACGGCTGGATGGCCCATGGGACTGATATCTTGGCATCGCAGCACTACGTTGGCACCGCTGACATCCAGGGTATGAACGCAGGTATTGGTCGTTCGTGACTAAACTGTGTTTGCACACACAAAGTTGATGGACCGCAGAATCTACAAATGACAAGAAACATTGAATTTGGTTTTACACATTAATTGGCAAATTTCTAGCTGAGAAAAAAAAGTCCGTTTGCGTGGTGGACATTATTTCAGGTCACATTAAAGGTATGGCTCTAGCAAGGATAAAGATGTCAATGTGAGTGACATCAACATTATTTTTGTGACTGTTTTGGCAATATGTTATACTAACAGGTGCACCGTTCTCTGCAAGAGTTCCAAATGGAGATATGCCATGATGTACGTGCCTTGATAGTCCAATTTGAATATAATTTGCAGGAAAAGCCTATAAGAATAGAGATTAGATATGCAGCCATGACACAACACTAATTACTGTTACTGCAGTTATGATGAACACACCATAATAAACACTGTTGGAGCATAGCATTACATCAGCAAAAGTTTAGATACATCAGAAACATTTGCCCTCCGTGAGGCATTCTTTGGTAAACAAAGAATAATACCACAACCTTAGATGCGTTTAATTTCATCGAGTATAATTTCTGGCATGACGGTTTCATTGATACTGGTAGGTCTTGTTCTTTGTTTATGTATAGTGTATGTTATCTGATCTTTACAATTATTGTCATACCATTTATCGGCAATTGTTATGGGTTTTGTATCCGTTATTTCTTTTGGGGCTTAAAGCGAATTCTACCATTGTTTTTTTTGAGGAGTGTAATGGTGTTTGGAAATCGTTTTGGTTATACTGTACATTGTGCAACTCCAAAAACAATGCAAACCGAGGAAGTTGCAGTTGCAAAAACATACTGGAAGTTGTTGGCTACTGACCTTGTATGACTTGAGAGTCAATATGTTTGCAGTGACCCCAGCAACCTCCCTTCAGTCACCCCCACTGCTGAACTGGCTAGTTTTCCGCACGTTGCTTTCTGCCCGCACGTACATTCTTCACGTGTTTTGAGCAGCGACGGAACAGCGGTCGTGCTATCACAGCCCCGATTTTGTTGCAGTGCAGCAAGACCGACGAATGCTTGAGCACCTCGCCTGACACTTAGCGCGGCCGCATTTCTAACAGCTCGTCGCTAAACGTTTTCGTGAAACGTTGTTTTCTCCAGGCTTCAGGAAGACCCCCCGGCAGGCGTGAGCGGAGCACCGACAGAAAACAACATAATGGTCTGGAATGCGGTTATATTTGGGTGGGTAAATAGCACTCTCACTTTACGATGACACGCTTCTTACTCATACTATTTGGTGGTGATATCTGCAAATGGCAGTTGATGATAATGTATTTCTCATTTAGTTGTAAATTGGCATGAGCGATGCTTTTTTTACCCATTAGTTTTGTCGTGTCTTGTAATCTCACAGCTAATTTAGTCAAACTTAATATCCAAATCGCAAGCGTTTTCATGGTTGTAAATAATGTCAACCTTCACTAATATAAATGTAGTTTAATAAATGTGAGTATCATATATGAATAATTCGGGCAGCTTCCAAGGTCAAACCAAGTGCTACTATTAATAAATATGTAAATATGCATTATTGCCTTCACATCCATTGATTTTTACATGCATTACGGATAGCGTGTCCGCTCGAACGTGTAGCATTACAGTCATTTTCTTCCTGTGTTGTTTTACAGGCCGGAAGGGACTCCTTTTGAAGATGGTGAGTGCCACACAGTTAAATGCTTGCTTGGCACAAGAGGGCAAACAGGTTCTCTCTCCGGAGCGGATTGGTAGAATCGTGCAGCCGAAACACAGCGTGTGAGCTGCATACCAAGCACTCGGCTCATGTCCTGAAACCCGACCGTGTATCAGAGTGATGGGAGGGAGTTAAGCTCATATCTGGTCAGTTGGTTAAGTGTCTTGTTTACCGCTGCGGCATGCAGGTGATCGCACCATGTAAAAATAAAGAAAATGCATTTTTACAGATTACTACAACAGACAGCACTCTACTGCACAAATGTAAATAAAAAAACACTTTTGTCTTTCAGGTACCTTCAAGCTGACGATTGAATTTACAGAGGAGTACCCAAACAAACCCCCAACAGTCAGATTTGTGTCAAAAATGTTTCATCCAAATGGTGAGCATGTGTATGACAATTCAAGTAAAATGTTTATCACGTTTGCCTTTTAATGGACACAATGCTTACTTTTACACAAGGGATGGGCATTGTATTTCACTATTTCAGTTCCGATGTGCAATAATGCCGCTATATGTTGGTATCTTTTGTCCAGTTAGAATGTGCTATATTTAAATGAACGGTCTGTTTTGTCACAGTGTATGCGGATGGAAGCATATGTCTGGACATTCTTCAGAATCGCTGGAGCCCCACATATGACGTCTCTTCTATCCTCACATCTATTCAGGTCAGCAGTGAAACCCGCGTGTGATGTTAATACATCACATATACATTAGCATTTCTTTGTGACCTCTGTTTGACCTTGAGTCTTTAATACAGTGAAAGTGGTGGTACAAAAAACTAAACGGGTGATTGTTTTTCCTTTACAATTGTCAGCTCCCATTTTTTGCTACTTTTGAGTGTCCACACCCAATACAAAAATTGCCAATTCCCACTAAACCTGCCCGTTTAGCAAGACGGGCAAATTTATCGGCTCTTGGCGGCGTGTCCAGTCGTCGGCTGCACCGCTGACGGTATCTTAACAGTGGTGGTCGGTGTCTCCTCTGCTGCTTTGCAGTCTCTACTGGATGAACCCAACCCAAACAGCCCTGCAAACAGCCAGGCTGCACAGCTGTACCAAGAAAACAAGCGCGAGTATGAGAAGAAGGTGTCGGCCATCGTGGAGCAGAGCTGGAAGGACTGCTGATGAGCGGCGAGGCGCGGCCAGCTACGAGGGGAGGGTCGTTTGCGACATTTAAAGTTGCATTTCCGTATTACTCGACATTCAAAAAGAAAATACGGTGACAGTCGCGTCCCTGTGTAGTCCACTAACTTGTATGCAAAGTATAGAAGTGCAAACTCTTCATAAGCCCATGCTATATTTAAACATAACAAAAAAAGCATAAACGTACAGTCAATACAAAAAAATCATTTTTCGTTATTTATGTAAACTGCCCTTTGGTGGGATTTCTGCCGTGCTCATTTACACAATCACTGTCAGCTGAAACATTTTGTTGAAAAAAATGTGGATTTGGCGTTCAGAAAAAGAAATAAATGTGCAGCAGTTGTGTTCGCATCCGTGATTGCTCAGAAGGGACGAATGAATTTGTCTGTTTGCTCTAAAGCCGCCGGTACTTGTTGGGATAAAAAAAAACATTCTCTTTGTGATGTTTGATTTATTATTCCTTTTGCACTTGTAATTAAACTGTACATATTTCGCCACAAAAATGTTTGCCCGTCGTCCTTTAAGGTATTGTCTCGTTACTTGATCTCACATGTGTGCGAGTATTTATAACCGTTAATGATAAAGGGTGACAGTATTGTAGCACATTTAAAGATAGCTGTGAGACTGTTATGAAAATATTGGCACGTAAAGCATTGGCCTTGGTCTATACACTGCTGGTATGAGGCCCCTCCACAAGCCGTCCCATTTCATGGTCCCGCGATACAACAATTGATCTGGCGCCTGCGCTTGAGCAATTTAATCTCCACTGTGGAAGTCTTGTAGGGCGTGTTCGCTCCTTTGCCAACAGTCATTAATCTCAATCACTCGTCATTCCTTATCGCGACGTGGCCTCGCCAAGCCCGCCTGTCACTTGTCTCTTATATTCCCTCTGATCCGTACTTCCTCTTCAATCGTACATTTCACCATGCTTCGTGCACTTTTGAGCCTTTCCATTCGCCCATGCCCATATTTATGCTCAATTTACCAAATAATGCTGGTCGGAACCTCCTGGTTACACCAGCCCACAGGGGATTATTGTGTCCGTCGTGCAGGGAGGGGCTGGGAGGGGAGGGGCTGGGTGGGGAGGGGCTGGTCACCCCGTGGTGCCCTTATAAAACTCAACGTTTAACCTACTCACGCCGGCTTGTGCCCGCCCTCGCAGTCGGGCATATTTGCGGAATACACCACGCCGCCGTTGACCCTGGCCATTGACCGAGCAACCCAACGTTCCTACCAGCTCCCTCCGCAGGAGGAATGTGTTTGGTCATCGTCAGGGGTCTGCAACCGTTGCCGGCACCTGGTATCGGTACTTATCATAACACGACAAACTTTCCATTGTATTCGCGTTGCCAACAGTACATCAACCTGCTCTCCTCTGCCACTTTCATCATTGTGATCCCGCTCTGCCTGAAGCTACACGGGCTGTAAATGCTCGTGGGTCGTCATTCTGTTTGTGTGTTACTCAAAGTGTCGCCGTCTCGGAGAGAACGGAGCATGATGCCGTCATATTCTTGGGTTCAACCTGAATTAGCTTCATACTGTAAAAGCAACGGAATACGTGAATTCTAAGTTACGAATTCACGCAGTGTTTTTTTTTACTATCTGACAATACGTCAAGTGCTGCTATTCCATGATTAAAAGTCTACACCTCGTTGAGCAAATGTGACTGAATTAAAACGCAAGCACCAGGACGAGGCCCATACAATAGCGTTGTCCATGGCTTCATTGACCCCACGTCTTATATTGTTCGGGTCTCCAACCTGCACCAAGCAGCGTGGTGGTTGTGCAGAGAGGGCCCTCTCCAACAACAGTGGATTGAAAAAAAAGTGCCAGACATTTACTGTGAGTATTGCTGGTAAGAGGTGACTTTAATATGTTTAAACTCTTTGGTTCTTTCGGTAAAGTCGCGTAGGTGAAAAAAATAAACTCACGACGTTTCGGGCGCAACATATTTTTATTTTCCACCTACGTGACTTTACCGAAAGAACCAAAGAGTATGGATTCTTGCAATCACGAAAACTTCAAATCTAGAATTTAAGATGTTTAATACAAACATGAACAAGTTAAATATATACATGTCTGCTTGTTATCACTTCGGCTTCCGAGGCACTGGTATTAAATGAGTGCTGGGACGATACATAGATTTTAAAACTCGTAACTATTTACTTGTTTGTGGTATATTAATCAGCCTCCCTTCAACAGTCCTGCCTCTTGAAGGCAGGAACCCCCCCCCCCTGAACAAACCCCACGTGACGCGAGAGATGACGCGGATTGGCTGCCCCAAACTCCGCCCATTTTCCTCCCGTCCACGTGGGCGCAACGGAAATTGCCCTTCGAACCCGATTCGCTGAGCAATGAAACCGATCGTCGTCTTCGGCAGAGATAATCAATGACATCAACACAGTCCTGTAATTGTATAACCCGGCTAATCCGGTCAATATTCAGTAACTCAGGTGATAACGGTGGTGGTTGTGGTGCGTGGATGTGGACATAGAGTGATGTGCAAAGCCATTACGCTCTGTCACGCCGGGTTCAGTCAGGAGGTAGCGTGGCCGAGCGGTCTAAGGCGCTGGATTAAGGCTCCAGTCTCTTCGGAGGCGTGGGTTCAAATCCCACCGCTGCCAGGAGTATTTTTTTGGTGCTGCTTGTTTGTTAAAAATGAAATCGATTACATTGTCCATTCATCGCGTCGGCTCAGTGATACACTTCACATCGTTAATCCACAAAGCCCGAGTTGTTTCGGGTTTTTTCTGTTGCCACGCGGAGCTGGCGCCCCAGAAGCGCCGTGATTATCTTGCTGCGGCTCGCCGTGTCCACGGGGCGGCGCTGTTGGAATTCTCGGAGGGCTGCTCGAGCGGCGATCGTCTTCACTGCGGTCAAATTCCGCGCCTGGGGTCGTTCAAATCAAACACCGCAACAAGCTTGTCGCGCCGTGGGTCAGGCAGCGGGTACCTTGGCCACCCCCTGGTGGACAAAGCCACGAGTTGGGACCTCCCTTACAACCTCCATGTTTTGAACAACAGTAACAAACACATTCCTGCGGAGGGAGCTGGTAGGAACGTTGGGTTGCTCGGTCAATGGCCAGGGTCAACGGCAGCGTGGTGTATTTCGCAAATATGCCCGACTGTGAGGGCGGGCACAAGCCGGCGTGAGTAGGTTAAACGTTGCGTTTTATAAGGGCACCACGGGGTGACCAGCCCCTCCCCACCCAACTCCACCCCTCCCACCCCCCACCCAGCCCCACCCTCCCCACCCAGCCCCTCCCAACTATCCCCTCCCCACCCAGCCCCTGCCCACCCAGCCCCTCCCCACCCAGCCCCACCCCTCCCATTTTTGGATGCACGACGGACGGACGGACACAATAATCCCCTGTAGGCTGGTGTAACCAGGAGGTTCCTACCGGTAATAACAACAACAAGAACCACTTCTTTAAAACGCGGTTTAAATTATTTTTTTTCTCATGAAAATCCTGAACGACTATGTGATTCGGGCAAGAGGAGCCGCGCTATAGAATAGGCTCCCAGGTGAGACCGCGCGAGCACAAATCTAATATTGGGGCCCCGCCTGACCGATGGCCGAACCCCTGACAAGGTCGAGACTGCACCACTCAGTCAGCAAGGTGCGTGGTGGAGCGGTGGCGCAGTGGTTAGCGCACCGCGCTCTGGACCCGGCTACCTTTGCATTGTTTTTTGCTTGTGTATAAAGTTGCTAAGCGCAGACGCAAAGGCGTAAAAACGTCAAGATGCGTGCGACACGACGCGAAGCGCTGTCAAGGGTGAAGACATTTCTTGAACTGAGCAAGGGAATACGCAGGATGAGGAGTGTTGTGACCTGCAGTGTGGCTTGGTGGTCGTACACAGCAGAGCTGGGATTAGGCAGTCCGCTCGACCAGAATCCTCAACATGGGTGGCTGATTCAGTGGGTGCTGCGCCATCACTCGAGTGCAGAGAGGTTATGAACTGGCTGCTACATTCAAGTGTGATCCGATCACCCCCATTACTCCCACGGTGTGGGGAGGCTATCACCCTGCATCGGATTGACAGCGGGCTGTACATGATCATCATTCCAATTGTTCGTCAACAATTGCAGCAGGCTTAAGGATGAGTTGTTTCTCGTGAGAGCTCCGCCACCCTTTCTATGGAGAATGGAAGCAGGCGTCGCCGCGTGTGTGGAGAGACGGGCGTTCGCTCAACACGCGAAATGAGTTACGAGAAATCGATGAACAGTGCGTCAGTCGTTTTACTCGATCGCACATCGCGAAATTGAGAACGTGATTTTCACCGTTGGTCTACGGGCGTGTCCAGTACGACCAAAGCACAGAAGCCATCACTTTATTCACAGCATGGAACTCTTTAAAACGGTGACTGATGCACTTTAGGAAATGACTTATGTAACATCTGTCATGTCCTTGCGTCGGGAACGTCACGTTGACATTTTTTTCCAGGAAGATCCTGCATTGTGGCGTTTGGCCAAATTCCACGAGAGATTTAACGGTCTCGAATGGAGCACGCCTCCTATTCGGGGTCCTTATCGGGCATCACGGCAAAGATTGCGGCAGCCAAAGGAACATGCCCTCAAGGGCATCGACCGTGGAGACTGGTCGATCAAAAGCATCTCGCGCTCAAGAGCGAGATGCTACTGTTGCATCGCAGGGAGGGGAGGTGGCAGCTTAGAGGGGGCCTTCATGCAGCAGTGGATCGATACTGGATGGTGGTGGTGATGATGGCATGTGGACGAAAACTGTAGAACCAGGATAAAGCCCACGCACGCAAGGGGATAGCGCGAACAAAGCTCTGCACGTTGACTCAATTGACTGCGGCACTGCCAACTGGCCCACCTGGCAACCTCTTATCTGCTGGGAGTAATATAATGAGTATGGAAAAAACCCACGGCTTGATGTTTTTCTATCGGGGCTGAATCAGCATTGTTCAATTATCCTTCCGACGAGGGTGCAAACACGAGGGAATTGCGCGGGTTTTTCTAACAAAAATAATTAAATGAGTAAAGAGCTTGGCTCACGTTGTCGATGATATCACGTTGGGACAAGCGGCTGAAATGATGAGCCTGCGTGTTAAACCTTCTGTCGTTACGTGTCGGTGTGTCCAACCCGAGCGCTTTGGGTTGGTTCTACCAGCGACTGAGATTGTTTGCTTCGGACAGCAGGTGAGGTCAACGTCAAGGGGATGGTGACCGGGTGTGAACGTGCGTCAATACAACCACATCCAGACACGTACCAAGTGTACCAGGCTGGGTGCACTTTGACGCCACGTGAAGGGTGGAAGTGTCGCTGGCAGGAGGTCACGCGACAGACCCCAGGTGTTACAGGTTGACCCTAACCAACACACTAACACACTTACACACTTGCACATTAACGTTTATAGAGTAACAATCATACATCTATACATGAGTTACGCGTCATTTATGGTTTGTTTAATAAATTATGTAAGGCACAACGAATGCATTTTTAGATAAAATACGATACAAATGTGAGATTATAGCCAATATTTTCCGTATGTTTAAATAAAGTATGTTTGCAAAATCTGTTAGGCTGATTGGTGTTCAGTTTATACCGTACTTCAAACAAAAACTCATCCTACACTTGCAAAACACTGTACACGAATTCTACATCCTGTATATTTTGTTGAATTGCATTCAGGGCGCAGTGAATAAGCTCCCAGTCGAAATAGCATACGTCAAATTATCTGCGATTACAGTTTTACAATCGGGGTGCTGCTGGTATAAACTGTTCATAAATTACAGAACACAACACCAGTAGTGGCCTTCACGGAGACGATGTCCATTGTGACACCACAGCGTGAGTTACTCAACCCAGCGCGGGTAAGAGGCGAGTCTCAACTCGAACGCGTCCGGTGAATCTCTCCTCATTGCCCCACATCGTGAGCGACACCTCGACCGACAGCAGCAGCAGTAGCAGCGTCTTAAACAGTTCAAGGTAACGACCGGGCGCTTTCCTGCGCCCCGAGAGTGTTGCAGTGCCGTGTTTTCAGAGTAACCAGGCAACTGCCCAGCAACGGTATTGGGGTGTCAAAGCGCCCTTCACAATAAGCTCAACACATTCTCACTGACAGAGCCTCCCACCACCCCCTTGGGTAACCCAAACCAACACGTGCCTACCGTACGTATACACACGTGACCCTCGGAACAACACAAAGGCATAATGTGTCGACACACCATGCACGGCTTTCCATTGGCTGGTGGAGAATGCGTCACTGCTGGATGGAACCAGTGGCGGTCGCCTATTTATGTTTGCAGTGACCCCCGCATCATCTTGCGCACACTTGAAGCACAGCAGGACGTGTCAGGCAAACGTGGCACGTGTGTGTGGCTCTGAGTTACATCGTCTGTGTGATTATTTTTTTTGGCGCTTAGGATTTAATTGAAATGAGCATTTATATTTACACAGCACGTGTTGGGTCCAACGTGTTGGGTCCAACACGTGCTGTGCAAATATCCGAAAACAAATAATAGCAGGGGGTTGTTAAGGACAGAATAAGGCGTAACGTTACCCAAAAAAAACCGAACAATTGGTGTTGAGTACGGTTTTCTGGTTTAATTTGATGAGCGTTTAAAATGCTATGGAAATTCACTTAATGGGAGAAGTCTTACATAATAGCTTACGCAATGGAGCGCGTAGCAATCAAAGTACCCATTACAGTTTATATATACAAAAACACGTACATAGTGTGTCAATTAAGGGATCATCACTCGTAAAATAGACACAATTGGCCTCGGCACGTGTCGTCCGACTTGCGTTTGCGTGCGCGCGTGTCCAAGCGGCTCCTGCTCTCCAGGCAGGTGCGCGGGGCAGGGGGCCACACACACACGCGCAATGTCGTCGGGTGGCACGCAATCCGCCAGCGTCTGCCTGGCCAGCTTCCTCGTGGCGGTCACCGGATGGATCGGCGCGTGCGTGACGTCTGGACTGGCTCAGTGGCGCGTGTCCCAGCGAGAGGATGGCGCCACGGAGGCGGTGTGGGTGGGCATCTGGAGGGCCTGCGTTCTGGGACCGACGTCGACGGTTCGACTTCGCTGCTACCATTTCCAGCTGGACGCAGCTCCTCCCGAGGTGAGGACTCGACGGCGGACGCGTTCCCCTGCTCGCCGGAGTCGCCCTCGGCAAGGAGCTGCTTCGCTCACTCGATTGTGCTTTTAGTCGCGAAGTCAACTTGTGATTCTGAAACTTCTGATGCTGTAGATCTACATGGACCCTTGACTGGCGCCTGTAATAACAACGATTGAATACAAAGTAAATTCCGGCCATTCACAATCCGCCAGTGGATGGATGAAGAATTTCCAAAGTCGTGTTTTTGTGTGTTTTGTTTTACCATGCTCCACACTGGCAGGGCGGGTTGGAGAAGGGCGGGAGGGTCTAGTCGTCATGATTTCACTTGCCACTGGTGATCGCCGTGGTTGGGACATCAAACTCTCTCGCGCTAAACCACTGCACCACCGCACACTCCACTTACGGCTGGGCAATACCTCATTCTAACGTCCTAATATGTGTGTGTCATTGAAGGTTTACACTGAGTTTCATTCGTCTTTGTATCGCTGTATTCCGTGTTGTTGCTCTTACCCTGCGTTCGCTTCGTGTCAGGGGTGGAACGATTCAGCGGCCTTCTTGCCACATGAACAGTTGTCGCAATTCGATTCACGTGAACGTCATTGCCTCTCGCGGCGGTCGGGGTGACGTGAACCCATTGCATACGGCACATACGCGTCGAAAAGCTTCCATACGGTATTTACACATGCAATTCCACGCACGTATCTGTGAGCTTAAGAATCGATTTTAATCTATTAATCAATACGCGTCCCACCCCTAGTCTGTACGTTGTACTGTTCTGGATTTACCCATGAAGGTCTCTTTGAAAAAAGAGACGAATATGCGAGGTCATTAAATATCTCCGTGTGATCACATGGGCCAGTGGATGAAGCTTGCTGCTCATGAAGTCTACTCGCCAGTGCCCGTGTCATTGTACTAAGCCTCACGTGGTGCGTTAATGCACTCAGGCCCGTGAAGACCAATATGCCCCCCCCCATACGTGACGTTGGCTGGGGGAGCCCTATCATTGAGGTCCACTTTTCAAAACCTTGTCAACAAACGTTGGGCAGCGGGCGGTGAGTTTGGGGTCTCGGTGTAATCGTCGGCCCCTTCTCCAACCCCCCGGCCCCTCTGCTCACGCCTCGTTACACGAGTCGGTACATTCAGAATCCATATCGGGATTCGGCCGGCCGGCAGACAACATCAGCGCATTCCACAATTAAGAGATACACCAACCAAAGCTACTAATGGCGAATTATGTCGTAATGCATGTATGCTGAACTTCTTTCGCACCGCACGTAGCCAACCGTGCTCGTCGGAGGTGCGGGGGAAATTTACATTCGCGACTGAGTTAATTGAATATTGCACGAGTCCTGAGGCTGCATGCAGCAGCAGCAGCAGCAGCAGCAGTCCGTGTTGGTGTGAATTTTGCGACGCGTAGTAGCGCGTTGTGACCCGAGTGACGGGGGGTCTCCGTGCGGTTACCCGAGTGGGTTACCCGAGTGGGTGAGGTGGTGCAGCAGCGAGCGGTAAACGAGGCCACGGCGTGAGCGGCGCTTTCCGTATTCATGAGCTCAGGTGGCGAGCAGCCGCGTCTCGCCAAGAGCGTGGACCTCGTGGCGCGTCACAGCCGCGAGCCACCGCAGTTCGTCTCACTGCAGACGCGCGTGTGTCTGTGTGCCCGTGTACGTGCCACGTGTGTATGCTGAACTTCTTTCGCGCCGTACGTAGCCAACCGTGCTCATCCGAGGTGCGGGCACATCCTGATTGATTCGTGACAAACACGGAGACACCACGCAGGCAGTCAACTAGAAGTCTCGCCGTGTAACAGTGGGGTGTCGTTTGGTCAGAGCTGTACAGCGAAATGTTTTGGCGCTCGTGTTATTGCCAGCAGCTTGTCGTGGATGTTAACACATTTGAGTTTGCCCCATCTCAGTCTACTAATAAAGACTGCCACACGCCATGTCGGTAATGTGTGTGGGGGGGGGAATTGGCCATACTTCATCACGCTGGTCAGGGCGGGTTGGTCAAGGTGGCAGGACAGGAGCAGTTTCATATTTTCCTCGCCAATGATATCGGCCGTGGCTGTCACGTAAACTCGCGTTGGCAGGGTGAGAGCGCAATTAAACCAGAACCACCCCTCCATCGCACACGTAGCAATGTGTGGATCGTATACAACTTGGAATATATTGACCTTTGCCGCATCGCTGTGTAGATGCATCATGTGTGTACTGCGATATAGGATATACAGTATATATATAGGATATACAGTTTATACGTAGGATAGGGTCCCAGGTTTACTATGCTACGGTATACACGATCCGGTGTGGGTCTCAGTCGTGCATCAAAGTCATTTTCTGACACGGATGTATAAACCGGGCTCATTGACAGGTTTAAACAAACCCTGAACACACACTACTCGTCGCCTTCGTAGTCACACTGTTAAGCAACTGAAACTCGTCACGTCAAGCATTTCCATGTTATAGAAACTCGTCGTGTTTACTTTGAGCGACAACAAAAATTCCATTCGATTTCAATGTTCAAATGCGTGCGCGTGAAGGTTCGGACCAAGAGACGTGTGTGGGGGGGGGGGGTTTGTCCTCCTGAGAATAAATAAATATAACGCGTGCGGGCGATGAATACGGTACAATATACACACGATTTGTTAATACGGTACAATATACACACGATTGTGAATACGGTACAATATACACACGGCTAAAGTTTCGATGTAAAGCTTTCGTGACTGCAGGGATTCATCTTCTTGGTTCTTTCGGTAAAGTCACGTAGAAGGGAAATAATAAAATAATAAAAATAAACCAATAAAATAATTCTCACGACGTTTCGGCCACAACGCAAGCAGCCGTCCTCAGGTGAAGAACAGGTCTGTTGGAAAGACAGCGTCTGATTCAGACGCTGTCTTTCCTACAGACCTTCAGACGCTGTCTTTCCGACAGACCTGTTCTTCACCTGAGGACGGCTGCTTGCGTTGTGGCCGAAACGTCGTGAGAATTATTTTACTATGTTTTATTATTATTATTTTATTTTTTCCGTTCTACGTGACTTTACCGAAAGAACCAAGAAGATACACACGGCTTTTACCGACCAGCACTAACCAGAGTTGTGAAGTTTGGTCAAACGCTCCCCACGATAGATGCAGCGATAAGAGGCATGCATTTAATAATAGATGGACAAATACGTGAGAGAAAGAGAGAATAAAACAACCCCAATATGACATAAATTTACACATTTACATGAGATATTGGCTTCACGTGTTATTATTTAATAAAAAACAATAATGAATTTTAGCTTGGAAAGTCTCACTGAGTCTAAAGACCACTTTTCAGGAGAGTCCTGCTGGGGATGTTTGGCCAGTCCTTGCGGGAGGAACCCAGACAACCTGGAGAAACCCCACCGCTCAAAGGAGGGGGTGACACTCAAAAGCTCCGCACAGATAGATACAATAATCCATTGCTGCCCGTCCATCTCCTGGCCACATCGCAGCCATCCACAACCCCGGGCGCCAGCTTTGGCCACGCAGAATCCCATTCAGAGCACTGCCCGTGACATTACAAATTCGACATCTTTCATCCGGGGCGAGTAACAGCGGGACGTTCAAGTCCAAGGGATAACACTGAGCCAGGGACGGGGAAATCCACCCGATTCCTACCCCTCCCCCGATCAACTCGCACTCTGGCCAGTGCTATAAGCAGACCTGTAAAAGTAAGTAAATAATTTAATGTGCAACTTTACGGGGTCTTTAATTGTTTACCTTTAGTGCCTGGGCTTTGTGAGAGGCACCCGCGGTTGCTGTGTTAACAGAGCAACACACGCGGACCGCATCACCGGATATCAATAATGTACCTGTGACCACCAGAGCGGTAGGTGTTGAGTGCGGGACGAGGAGTGAAGCTCCACACGTAGTAATTCCATACATTGCAGACCCGTCACGCACTTTTTACATACACAATATGCAGATTCTGAATGTACGATACACCTAGAATCAAATGACTTGGAATGCACCTGAGCCCGTTAGATCTCGGAAGCTAATCAGCTTGAGCCTGAACCGTGCTTGATTGGGCCACCGCCGTGCGTTAGGGTGCCACGGTGGCTATGAGATGTTAATTGCTTCGCCTGATGTGCAGGAGGTCGTGGGTTCGATCCGGACCATGACCCCTGCTGTATATTTGGAGTTTGCGTGCTCTCCTCGTGGTCGCGTGAATTTCCCCTCCATGTTTAGAATCAACATCACGAGTTGAGTGTATTTGGCTGCTGTACATTCCCACGTGATAAGCCACTTCGTTGAGTTATCATTTGTGGCCAGGTCGCTTATGAAAACAAAGCTTTACAGTATAGGTCAGTGGGCCTCACCTGGTAAAAAAAATGCAACAGGTGATGTCGGCTGTTACGAAACTTTACATTGTCAGCAGACGACCAGTAACTAGGGCAGCAAACCCCATTGTTGTGCTGCATGCCCCTATGATTCCAGCCAACTTTGCATGATGAAGTATGATGAAGTTACCACCACGACCCGCATGGGCACGTTCCACACGCGACGCGGTATAACGCGCCGGGCATGTGCACTCGAAGCTTATCGTAGTCAAAGTCTAACAATGTATCCCTGCTCAAACGAGCGCGGGGCGGTGGTTATCGCTGTCGAGCGGTCGTGAGCCAATTTAGTAAATTCCACATTCCTACGGTGAATTCCAGCGTGTGCTGATGATCACCCCTCTCGACTTCCCCCCGAGTGCTGGTACTCGTGAGGTCGTTGCCTACAATGAGCCGTTTGCGCGGAGGAGGACGCGTTTGTAACAGGTATGTTTTGAGGCAAGGGTAGGGTGGCAGTCAGGAGAGAAGCAGGACAGTACAGCAAGCAGGCTTGTATAACCATCTATGTAGACCTTTCAGTGGTATGTCCTCTTATGCGTGGTGGGTTTTCCTCCAATTTCTTCCCACGTGAAGCCAAACTCTCCATGAAAAGGAATTATCCAGAATTAAATGGTTCAGATATATCTCAATGCAGTACCCCCCAACAATATGTTAAAAACTCAGCGAGGCTTTCCTGGATAAATACGTAGAGACCTTAATAATAAATTAATGCATGCATTAATACATTACTATACAAATATTAATAATATGATCTTTAACACGTAGGCTTTCACTCACCAATATTATCTATAAGAGGTTTTTGGGTTAGATCGCGTAAATATAAATGCGTCGTTAAATCCGCCACAGCCGATGAGTAAGCTTTGTCACGTAAACAGAACATGCCAATGCGTTACTAGTAGGGCACAGTGGTGTGTTTGACTGTCGCCTGATGATGCTGGTTGTAATTACCGGCGAAACGTCGTACTCGAATTGTGAATATTGTGGGTTTACTCTCCAACACACCGGTGTGCTGAACGAGTAACGCATTGACCACGTTCTATTTACGTGACAAACCTTAATTACGATTTCAAGCTTTCGTGACTGCAGGGATTCATCTTCTTGGTTCTTTCGGTAAAGTCACGTAGAAGGGAGATGACTTTACCGAAAGAACCAAGAAGATGACAAACCTTACTAATCGGCTGCGCCAGGTGGTGGCAGGTTTAACCGGCGCGTTCTTATTTACGTGATCTAACCCAAAGAAACCTCTATTATGAATATTAACTTTCATTTATCCAGGCAAGTTCCACTGAGTCTCGAGAATATGTTTGACCAGGAACTTGCATTAGGATGTTTTGGTCGATTCTGTGCATGGGTGGGTGGCATGTGGAAGGGGCGGTACCCTGATAGGTGCCGCACGCAGATCCACGAGAGGGCATGGCCATGTCCTGGCCACGTAGCATGCAGCAGCTGATCTTCCCTGACAGGCTCCCAACCCAAGTACGAAGCAAGCTTAACTCCCCTCCTGCTCAGCTTCTCGAGCCCTGAGAAGATAGGCTGCATGCAAGGAGATTTGATCAGAGGCACCGTATGAATGACTAAATGTCATTAATTTAACTCGGTGCTCAAATTCACGTCTGTTGAACTTCTCTCGCACCGCACGTAGCCAACCGCGCTAATCGGAGGTGCGGGGGAAGGACAGCAAACTTAACACAACAAAGCAGTTCTCAAGAAATACGTTTCCAGATTTAAAGCTGCAACGCGCACCTGAAAGCACCGCGATGCGGTGACTGCCTTTGTTCGAATGACAGTCACCCTATTGACTCAATTTCCCGTCGAACGGCATGTTTGCCGTGCTATTATTAACTCAACGGTCGGACGGATGAACGGACGAACGAACGAATGGCAGTAGCAGCTGTTGACTCAATGGTCTCATGACAATGTCCATCCCCCCGCCTTCCCCGGAGCAGGTGATCGCCGGCCAGGTGCTCATGACGCTGGGGATGCTGATCGGCGTCGCGGGCAAGGTGGTGACCACCGCCGGCCTCCGCTTCATCTTCTTCGGCCACGAGGGGGAGGGGTCGTCGCACGCGTGCGCTCTGGCCGGAGGCGCTCTCTTCTGCGCCGCCTCGCTGGTGACGACGGTGCCTCTCGCCTGGCACGCGTACGCCGTGAATGCGCGCCAGGACATCGCGCTGCCCGCCAACCTCACGAGCCGCGCGCTGCAGCTCGGCTTGCCGCTGGCCGAGGCGCAGATCCACGGTGCGGCCATCTACCTGGGGCTCTGCTCGGCACTGCTCATGTTCGCCGGGGGAGCCGGCGTCGCCTCGTACTACAGGACGACGAGGCAGCGGCTCAAGGTCCACCCGTGCTTCAGGGACGGCCGCTTGGCCAGGGCGTCCGTGGCGACGCTTTTCTCCTTCTCGCAGCCCAACAGTCGCCTCCCATCGCGGCCGGGCAGCCCTGGGGGCTCTCCCGTCCACGAGCCCCCGGGCTCGGCGGCGGGGCAGAGGGCGTCGCAAAGGTGCGATCCGCGCGAGGGGCAGGAGGGAGCGTCCTTGCAGATGTCTCGTCTCTCCGGCCAACAGCGGCGTATGCTCGCCGAAAACTCCAGCAACTCGGAGCAAAGGTCCTCCGTACCAGACCCTGGCCACGCCGGTCAACCGGGGCACATTTCCTCGCTGCGTCCTGGCGACGAGGGACGGGATTCTTCCCAAAATGCCGAGCATTGCAGCGAGCAGGAGAAGGTGACATCCTCGGAGCGTGCGCCCGAGTGGGTGGGTGTCGGGTAGGGGAGCCCACGCTGCTCAATGTAAACCCAACACGTGCCAGGTCTAGTACCAGTCCTATTGTTTGTGCAGCTCTGTCGGTGCTGGTGGAGCTGGTGCCGGCAGTACGAGGAGGTGGAGTGGTCAGCACAAGGCGCTGTGAACCCGGCGATCTGAGATCGATTGCGGGACGCGGAAAACTGAAGTGGCGAGTGATCATACCTGAATCCGTCCTGTGGGGTTTCTGCCTTCACCAAACATATCCTGTCCAGTGTGGTGAAGTATGGTCAAACAATCCCCCATGACCAACCAGGTGTGGGGAAGCATTCATTCAGCAGTAGATTGATAAAGGATTGTTCGTTGTTTATAAGATTGTCGTTATACATGTGATTTGGGCATTATAGCTAAACTGATATTTCCGTATTATTTACTTACATCTATAACAACTTCTCTACAACACATATTAAACTGGATATATGTTAATTGTGATACATATTGAGTCCGTGTCTCTATGTATAGTTTATAGAATGTGTTTGTAAATGTAAAAAATATATGCAACATAAACAAGAAGTATTCTGCATTATAATAGATTGTTGGGTCTCGCCATGTAATGATCTTGCCAAATGTTACGTGGTGAAACCCTTCACCGCCCGAGAGCCAAACACATTCAATTGTCACGTGAACCAACGTTCACGGGCCAATTGTTATCGTTTTAGCTCACCGTGGGCACGTTAACAATTCTCACAGCCGTCGCTCAATTCAGATTCGAGAATGTGTCTGTGGGAATAGCCATTGATAACTGTACCAACTGTTCTTCAACTTAGCGGTGGGCGAGCTCCAACTACGAAAAATGCGAGTGTAAAGTTGGCTTCATCATTACGCAGACGAACCCAACACATAGGTGTCTGACACCCTGCAGGTGCATCTCAGTGTAGGATGCGCTCAGCGTGAAGGGCGAATACGTGACGTCATGTCCCCTGTCGCTCGCTCTCTCCCCTCTCCCCTTGGCCCCTCCACCCCCTTGGCCCCTCCCCGATGAACCCCGTCGTGATGTCCCAGAGTCGCTCCTCTCACCGCGGTCACTCATTCCTCAGCCCCTTAGGGGCCGTCCATAAATGACGTCACGCACCTAGGGGGGGAGGCGGGTCAGACATTTGTGACGATGTGTGACGTGGGGGGGGGAGTTTGAGAAATGTGACGTCATATCAAAATGCGCAACTTTAAATAAATATAAACAATATAATTGTTATAACAACACTAATCTTGATTAATTTTCATTATTAACTATTTGATTATTTAAATGTACTAAGGTGACGTTTTATTTATTTCATGAATGAGCATTTTGCTTCTCCATGGGAGAATTGAGAAGCATACATTTTGTAAATTTGTTGAATGATTGTTATTAAACATTTTGATTCTAATGATTCTACCAGGGCTTTTCATTATGTGCAATGAATATGTGATTGTTATAATTGTACTCTCCATTTTGCTTCGTTCTACTACAAAGTTTCAAGTATTTTTGATAGTTATAATTACTTTTAATATTTTATAATTATAAGAGAATTTCAATATAATATTCTGAACATCTGCAGTTTTAGTTAGACGTTGAATATTTTCAAGTTAATTTTATGTAAAATTTCAGCTTTCCAACGCCTCCGTTTCAATACGTGTTTTCTCCTACAACATCAGAGTGCAGCGCCACATTAAATAGGCACTACAATGAAAATAGTTTAAAGCGATTTGAAGCATGTTAGCGAGGTTGGCTACGTACGGTGCGAAAGAAGTTCAACGTACGTACATTACACGCCCCTGCCACCTACATCTTTCTATTCTGTCGCTGTTCTTTTAGCACATTTTTGTTGTTTGTGTTTTTGTTATTATATTTTGTTTGTGTCTTTGTTATTATATTCTAAGAGGATGCCCGGGTCAGACCACAGACCGCGACGGAGTGAGCGTTGTTTTGTTTTTTTACAACGTCAAACGCCTTGAGTGAAGGCCCTCCAGAAATAAAAATGTTTTAAAAGTAAAGTATTGTGCTTAATGACCTGCTGCTGTAGAATCGCAGTTACCGCAGACAGATGAGCAATGCAGAGGGCACCGAGTTCTCGATGGATCACGCAGCGCCCATCGGCACGCGCTTCAGATGTTCAGTTTCACTGCAGCGTTGTCGCGACGGACGTCAAATTTAAGACGTTCACGAAATCCGACACATTTTCTGTTAAACAACCTCATTGTTGGTGACTTGTGCGCGCATTTTAATAGACTGCGCCGTACGCTGGCGATGCATACACCCCTGGTGTATCCTTGGCTAATACATTGCGTGATGGTATTCACAACGACAACAACATACAAAGATCCCCCGTTCAGCCTGGACATAAAGTTGGGGCAAGTGCTGTTAACGAGGGGGTGGGTGGCCAGCACCACGCCCGGCCGCCTTTGTCTCCCAGTATACAAGACAAACACACGCACACTTTCTTTGTATACTCGGCAACCTGAGTTCGACTGGCAGCGCACGGCTAACATCAGTGGCGAGTGATATCTTAACCGGTACTGGACGGCTGGACCCCAAAACCACACCCCACTTCAAATCGCACCGACCGGAATGGTGAAGTATGGTCAAACAAGCCCATTGGCTGTGGGGGAGGCCTTCATCCAGCAGTGGATCGTGACACTGGCACTATCCTGCAGTCTAGAAGACGCTCCGGGAAGCCGGACGCAACCAACCCAAACTTTGTGTGCCCGGTGCCAATAAAACCTGGTCACACGCACACACAATGCGAGGCCGTAACTATAATATATCCCCCCCCCCCAAATATTTAAATATGCTCAAAATGTATCCCCCAATATATTGCTTTCAAATAGATTTCTGTTTATATGATTGTGATTATGGTTGTACTTTGTAAATCCCTAATCTCTGCCATTACATACAATGAAACAAGAAAAGGTAAAAAAAAATAAAAAACAGAGCAATGTAATACAATACACTATTCGACATTATTGTAAAAAGTAAATACAAAGTCCATCCCATGTGTTAGTGAATTTTTAAATATTTTAGGCAGGAAATTCGTTTTAAAATTTAGATTTATTCTTTTTCTGGGGGGGGGACCCCCAGACCCCCTGGAAGATTTGGTCCCCCCCAATGTTGACTCCATGGCTACGGCCTTGACACATTGTATCCGAGTACAAAGACGCACCCACAACTTACGTTTAAAAATACATTTGGGTATTTTTGTTTCTTCAAACGCGTCTTGTAAAAGTCAGAGAATGCGTTTTGTTGGCAACATCGCGAGTTGCTCAAGCGCCGAGTTTTTGACTTTGCGGTCTCTTTGAGTTCGTTGCCATCAAAACCCGCGAGGAAGTCGCAGAAGCAGCATCAGCAAAGCAGCGCTGGACAGAACCAGAGCTGGGGGTGGAGGAGGAGGAGGAGGGATCGCGTGGATTGATCGGATCGTGCGCCTGGCCCTGGACGAGCTGCCAGCGTCTGGCACCTCCCTGGTCACACGGGGGAGGGAGGGGAGGGAGGGAGCGAGTGGTGACACGTGTCTCCCTGGTCAGACGGAGCGTGAGACGCTGCTGCCCAGTCCACGTTCCCGTGCCGAGGGTGACGTCCATCCACAGGAGGTTGTTCACTGTTGACTTCCCACAGAGTGGAACTCGCTTTAGAGACAAGCCCGAAGGGATGATTGGTCGTGTGTCGATATCCTCCTCATCCTCCACCACCAACGAGGATTTGAATAACCAATTCTCCAGATGTAGTAGTAGGAGATGTGATGGTAGATGTAGTAGTAGTAGATGTAGTAGTAGTAGATGTAGTAGTAGATGTAGTAGTAGTAGATGTAGTAGTAGTAGATGTTGTAGATGTAGTAGTAGTAGATGTAGTAGTAGTAGATGTTGTAGATGTAGTAGTAGTAGATGTAGTAGTAGATGTAGTAGTAGTAGATGTAGTAGTAGTAGATGTTGTAGATGTAGTAGTAGTAGATGTAGTAGTAGATGTAGTAGATGTAGTAGTAGTAGATGTAGTAGTAGTAGATGTAGTAGTAGTAGTAGTAGATGTATTAGTAGATGTAGTAGTAGATGTAGATGTAGTAGATGTAGTAGTAGATGTAGTAGTAGTAGATGTAGAAGTAGATGTAGTAGTAGTAAATGTAGTAGTAGATGTAGTAGTAGTAGATGTAGATGTAGTAGTAGATGTAGTAGTAGATGTAGTAGTAGATGTAGTAGATGTAGTTGTAGATGTAGTAGTAGTAGATGTAGTAGATGTAGTAGTAGTAGATGTAGTAGTAGATGTAGTAGTAGTAGATGTAGTAGTAGTAAATGTAGTAGTAGATGTAGTAGGAGATGTAGTTGTAGTAGACTGATCAGACAACAGGAAAATAGCTGGGGAACAAAAACGTCTCAACCTCAGTGTCCACGTGTGTGCCAGTGGACGGGAGGTGGTGGGCGGAGCTTGGTGACGTCACGCAAGGGGGGTTTTTCACCTTCATGAGGTCGGATGCTCGAGGAATGGCTGGCCGCAGGTTTTCGTTTGTTATCGGCGCCGACAATAAACGACCACAAATAAAAAATGTGGTCGAGTACAATCGTTAGACGCAGTGCTATATCCCCGCTTTACTCAACCGCGCACACGGACAAGTCAGTATAAACCTACTTGCTGCCCTGCAATGTAACGGCCCTCTCTAACGCCCCACCTATAAGCGTTGCGCTTGTGTGCATCACCTCCTGCATTCCCTGCGCCGGAGAAGAAAAACACATCCCTTTGTCGCAAATATTAGCTCAACAAATAGAACATTTCATATTCAGAGTTCACTCACTGATCAAGGTGGTAAATTATTTCCAGCCTGTGCTAATATATCACTGTTTACTTTCAGCGCAGGTTTTTTTTTTTTGACTAAAATAAATAAGGAGGCTATATTTTTTTTAGGGGGTCATATCTGGGCCTTTCTCAAACAATACGAGGTGGCCCACGTTTATCATTCCTCTTCTGCACAAGGACAATCCGGCAGGTTTGATAAATTAATAAATTCCGTGCAATTGGACTTCATAAGGCGATGTGCCGCTCGATCCACTCGCTGGCCCTGCGATGTAGCAAGAGGCAGGCTCTAGAAACAAGCTCCTGGCTCTCAGTGCGATCTTGATTTACCCTTAGGTTTTTACGGTAAAGTGACTTTACCGTGACTTTACCGAAAAAACCTAAGAGTATGAATCCTTGCAGTCACGAAAGCTTCAAATCTAGAATAGATCTCGATTTGTTACGGCCCCTGTGAAATCACTGCTGAATGAAGTCAGTGCCACGCCTTTTCCATACTCTTTGGTTCTTTCGGTCAAGTCACGTAGGTATCAAATACAATCAATCACGACGTTTCGATCGCAACACAAGCGGTCGTCCTCAGGCTGGAAAAAATATCATCCAGCAGTGGAACTGCTGAACGAGCGAGAGAGCAGCTACAACAACAAGATGCAATTATATATATATATGTGGTGATGGGCAAGCAGGCGGGGTCTGAGCTGGAGAGGAATTCCATCCCCGCACGCCAGCACCTCAGTTGTGTTAATGGGGGAGATTCGGGAGAGAGGGATTAGGGAGGGAGATTAGCACGAATGAGCTTCCGTCACCACATAAGAGCACCATGCCCGCATATCTGCACAACAGCAGTGCTAGTGAGAGATTAGCAATACAGGAGTGCAATCCACGCCTTTTACAGTTCTCTGGACCATACGTCACCGTACTGGTCAGCGCAGGGTGCGGGTTCGGTTGAGGACCGCTTTGAACATCGCTCGCTACTCATTGTGAGCCTGGGGCCGGGACTCGAACGTCAGTGACCCACAGTGCGCTAACCACTGCGCCACCGCTCCACCCAATGGACCTTAGGCGATTCAACATTTAAGGTCATTCGATCAATAATCACCGGATCCTTTTTCGTAAACCAAACAGTCATCGACGTTCAGAGGGCGTTGTTAGGCAATGTCCATAAGTACTTTTATTTACTTTATTATTATTTTTATATCTATGTGACTTTACCAAAAAACCAAAGAATAGCAATAACATGTTTTATTGTTGTTGTTACTTATGAAGCAATACATTCAACACGCCTTTGGTGAAATCACTCTGAATGCGAACGTCGAGACAACGTTGGTCAACGTTGGTCCCACACTTCCAACCACATGGCAACGTTGAGTCAACGTTGGCATGTTTCTTTCTCTGGGTAGC